GAGCTTCCACAGACAACTGGAGACTCTTCTTCCCGTCTCTCTTCTGCAGAGTGGCCTTGGTCTTCATCAGAAAATGAAGTCCAAGGGGACGCCTTCGATCATTTCCTTCTTATGCACTGGGATAAAAGGGAGATTTTCTCAATTCCTCTTGGCAAAAATGTCTTTTCTTCCCATCTGTAGTCACCAGCATTGTAAATGATTAGTAGATGCGTGGCCCCAGGTGGGTTTCCGCAATCCAAACTCATTTAAACCAGCCTTGCAGATAAACACTGAAAGTTTACCAGCCCATAAAAATCATCTGGCCGGCTCACGCTGCATAAATCAAATGACACTAGGTTCTGGTGAGTGACAAAACAGATAACACTAACATATTTCAGGACTTCCCCAAGGCAAACTGTTTGTGGCTTTAGGCATGTAGTTATCATGGAATTATCTGTGAGATTAATCGTTGAGTCCCGTTTTCAGTCGCCCTGCTGGGGCTTCTGCCAAACAAAGCACGAAAGTAAATTTGCTGCTTAAAGAAAAATATCCAGCCGTATTTCAGCAGAGAGAAAGGTCATGTCACAACGACAGACGATCTTTGTGGATATTAAGACTAAGCTGGACAAAGAGAGCTAAACCAAGGGAGGCTGTTTGAACTGCAGATAACATTTATGTTTTTGACATCAACCTATGAAGTCTTGAGATGCAAGACTTGTGGGAGAAAAATTGATGAGGAAAAAAAATTAAGCCCCCAGCCAACAGGAAAATTATCAACAGTATCAAAGAGAGCAATTGACAAATAAATTAGTAAATAAAAAAATCCAAAAGGTATTCTAAAAGCATATCACTTTGCCAGTTAGGAATTGAGGCATATGTTTTGAATTTTCTATCATTTCGTTTGCAGAATGATTTGGAAGCGGGACTATTGTACTGAAATATAATGCTGGATTGAGAAAAGCCCATTTCAAAAGGGAACGGTTAGTTGGAAGGAAGGGCTGGTCCTGTCGGCCTTTGGGTAGCCAGCTCTGGAGCGTGAGTAACAGACCTCCTGGATGTGGCTGGAGAATTCTGCATGACTCAACAAGTTGGCCAGGTCTCCAGGGTCCAAGTGACATGGCCATCAGGCAAGGACTCGATGGGTCCTAGGCTCAGTTATTGTGCTTCCTAGGGGCCTCCAGTGGCCCCAGGGCAAAGTGTGTCCGGGTCTTGGGGCATTCTCCAACAGTGGGGAAACAGACCCTGAAAAATGCATCCTCCACAATAAGTCCCCTTTCTCAATCAGGGAAAGTGAACCCAAACCCATCCCGGCAGCAGCGTATCTCACTGCTCTCAACCCAGGACATCTGGCTGGCCAGGGGCCCAGCCGAGGAAGTCACCTCTGCCCTCAGGACCGCATCTGCCCAGGATCAGCGCTTCCCGAGAGGACACTGGGATGGAGTCACATCCTGACTCCACTCCAGGGCTGAGCAAAAGCACACAGGGACTGTGGGAAGCCTGTTCCTCTGGCAGAATCGGGGCTGTTGAGTCAGCATCTTACACAGAGCAGGACGTCAGTGAATATTTCACAAGTGAGAGAACCTGGTGGCAGACGAGGATCTCTGCTCTCCAAGTCCCAGCTGGAGCTTCCCACCCACGGAGCTACGTGCACTTCCCTGGGTTGGTCCCACGGACCCCGTGCACTTCCAGCTGCCCCACTCCGGGTGACGGAAACACCCTTCCTCTTCCACTCTGGCACGTGGCTACTTGCAGGCCACCTCACCAGCGATGTCTCCTAGGCGCCTGCTCTACCCAACGTATCCTGCCCACGATCCTCTTACAACCCGTTTTACGAGCCCCAAGGACTTGAGCATCTTGC